ATATGCGAAGATKCCCGCTTTCGCTTACACCTGCTACGCATCTATTTATTTGTCTCTAGCTGCTAGCTACTAGAGCAAGTGCGTATTGTTGTTGCACGAAAACGTGATTTTTTGGCGGGAGATATCATTTGCAGCCGACAATACGCACTATATTGTAGATAAAACACACACGCGCACACACACATATTTATTTTTACGCACACAAAATTTACGAGTTGCTTCATACATGTTCGCTGGCCCGCTACACGCATTTCGTACGCATCCTCACCCTTTCGACAACACACATTTTCACTCTCRCATGCTCTCCTCCCCCATATTTGTTATTGTTCTTGTTGTTGTGTTTTTGTTTTTYACAATTCGCACTTGTATCGCTCATCTACATATGTATCTTGTTTTGTATTTGTATCTTGTTTACTTTATAATTCTCTCCACTTACTGTTTCTCCAATTTGAACGGCCTTCGGTCCATTTCTGTAGCTTGATATTTACGATTTTTTTTTGTATGCGAATGCAGTCAAGGCGATACGCAGAATTGGCTTTTATACGTGTAGACTTTGTGGCCTGTTGTTGACGCGAGTCTGTGGGTGTACGACCTGCCGTTGGAGCTCGCTTGACCCAGTAGGAACTCGTGTACTTTTGAGAATGATTTTAGTTTCTTTGAAATTGTTGCTCTCTTTCTTTTCAAAAKTGAAAGAGAAACAAGCTTAAATGATTAAATAAACTATAATAATAAAAGAACATAATTCAGTGACATTTTGGTTTATAGGTTATTATTTTTGGTTCTATGTAGTAATATGTATTTACTGTTATGTAATGTGCATATTCATTATTGTCATGCTTAAAACATTGTCATTATCAAGAAAAACTAAATAGCTGCTGCTTATTGTTGCGAAAGTTTTTAAAATTGTAAATGTTTGTTTCTTATGATATGTTCACCTAATGAGCCAAAAGAGGGTATATGTAGATGTTATGAAATCTCGATCTGAAATTTGACACACACTTTTGTTTTTGGCGTGATATCTTCACGAATTTTGACATGGCTTTTTGTGCAATCGCCGATAAATTGTTCAGATCGGACCACTGTATCATATAGCTGGCATACAAACTGATCTATCAAAAATCAAGCACTTTTAGAAAACCTTTTTATTTAAGAAATTACCTTTCCGAAATTTGGCACATACAAGTTATWATCATAGACAACGTCACAATCCCTGAATATCAAGTTCCAAGTTCCTGTATTAAAAGCATTTTTATTTTCGATGGGCAAAGCAGCGTTCCATCCAAAGTTTACTTTTTTTGCCTTAGTCTTAATTTTATTCTACACTTTTTGTTGTTCTTATTAGCTTTGAAATACTTAGTAGTTTAATAATTTTAGTAGCCTCCCTTTCCTTTACGACTTCAGMTTAAAGAAAATAGCCTTAGCTTCGTCGAGTTTCCAAAAAAGTTTATTGTATTTAACTCCATTAGCTTAACATTTCCACAACCAATTCAGTCGGTTTTCAATGAAAAGACATTTTCCACAACTTTGCAAACAGACATTTTAGTTAACGTTTCCACATTATTCCGCTTACGCGGTTATAACCGAGTTTACAACAGAGAAGACCGTTTTTTCTTTTCATTGGACGTGTTTGCTATGTGGCGGGTCTTAAAACAGTGCACAACATTGAGAAGGGATGTATGTATTGCCTTCTCACCTTAGCTACCCAGAGTATACTTGGTCTAAGACCGCAAGTCGTGAGCTGCTTGAGTCYTATGCAAAAGAATCGTTTCCGGCCACTCCCAAGTAAATGGTGCTCAGAGAATCTTACTCACTTGCGTGAACTTCTACACATGGCTCCATCCTTATTTCCTAGGGCTCCTTAAAAATACTATAGGTAGTCATCATTTCTCCAACTTATTATTTTTTCCTATAGGGTGCAATACAGGAAATCGGATTGTGTGTGCAATGCAAAATTCGTTTCAGGTGTTCATATATACAATCGTTAGTAGGTTTAACGCACTGCTAATCGCTTGACACCAGCCGAACTTCAGGGATATTACATCTCTTGTGCCATTTCCGGTTTGTTCCATAAACATGTGTACGTACTGGTTTAGGATTAGGATTAGAAAGCAAATGTAAATGAAAAAAGCGAATAAAATGCCAAACACAACAACAACGAATAAACAAACCTCTCATCTGACATTGCAATTGCAGCAATTTTATGTTCGCGATCAGCAGAATAAGCGCCTGGGGACCGGACGCTTTTACCTTGCAGCCAACCGCGAAACCCATTTTCAAGTGCGTTTTCATTTATTACGCACGTTCAATCGATAAATATATACATATATATGTATATATGCATAAATACAAATATAAATTGTGGATCCTCATCTGCACAAATAAAAAAAAAAAACAACTGCCGCGATACGAATACGACAGTAGCGATAGCAGCGCATATTTAACCTACAAGTTGAGTATTTCACTGTTATTATTATTATTATGATTTTTTGTGGTTTGTTTTGATTTTGGTTTCTAAATTTCTTGCTTTTTTTGTGTGTCAATTCATTTTACCCCATTTGCTGTGCAACTTTCGTAAATATTTATAAAACGTAAAAGCGTGCGGTCGGCCAGCGCCAACGACTCACGAGTGACCACAATATTGCCGATTACGACGGTGTCAACCATGACTCGCTGGTGTGCTGATAAGTAGTGATGGCTCATAGTTTTCTTTGTTTGTGCATATGTACATATATGTATGTATGTATATTTGTGTAGAGATTACACATTTTTATAGAAAGAAAGCGGCGAAAGAAAGCAGCTCAGCGCCTGTGCCAATGCGTTGAGTCGCGACGCGTTTATTATGTTGACTTTAATCCACCATTTTTTGTTGTGTTTTTTTTTTTTTGCTGTCTGCAGCTTAAAGCGGTTGTTATTATTTGGTCCGCCATTTTGTTGTTTTAACTTCAGCTTTGTTTATAACTTATAACTGTAAATAGGGAAAAAAAGGCAGCAAAAAATAGTTTTGTATAGTATTGTATTGGCTTCAGTGCTGTCATCAACGGCTTAGCGTCTTTTGTCTGTTTGCATTGTTGTTGTCGTAACGTCTGCATTTCGCGTTTGGTATAACGCGCTTCTGACGTTGCGGCGGCGGCCAAACCTGGTTTATTTACCTTCATGCCAACACGTTCAGCARCATGTCTTGGCCGAAACTACAATGCATATACCTATGTGCATATTTATGAATGTGTGTTTGAGTTTATGGCCAAGCGTCGTATTGTCTCTTTGACTTTGCCACTAATCACTTAGTCGCTTGTTTTGTGGTTTGACTGATTGTCTGAGTGGCAGTTTGCCTTCGCTGGCTAAGTGTGCAGTGCTTAGCCTTTAAAGTGTGTCCCAGTTATGAGCTTGCTCGCTGATTGGCTGTTTTCAAATATTTTGTCTGTTTTGTTTGGGTCGAAATAATGGTGAAAACTTGCAATGCGCGACTTTTCGGTTATGTGTCTGGTTATTAGTTAGCTGAGAGCTGTTTGTTTACTTTTTTATTTTATGTTATTTTTTCGTTTATTTAACTTTTTTTCCTAACATTTCATATAATGTGGAATGTGTTGTATTATAGTAATTAGTTTGTATAGCAAATGTGCAGTTTCGAAAGTATTCCAGCTGCTGTAATAGCCATGCTTAATTAAAATGAAAAGTGTRCAGTTACGAAAAAATCTAAGGCGAGTGAAAATTAGTTGCAGGTTATAGTTTGGTTTTTATATTTTCAAGTGCCGCAGCAGTTTAGATTTGCACTTGAAAATGTGAAAGTAAAAAATTTGTTTCGTTGTGGTAAATTTAAGCGTAATCTAAAATTATTATAATCTAATAAAAATTTTTGGCCGGAAAATTTATATTTATGTGTCTGATAAACCTGCTGATTCCCCTCATSACTTAATTTATAATTGATTCTCAATTTGTTATAAAATGCTTAATTAAATTTTTGTACAAGTTTTTGTTTTGACTTGATCCATAATTAGTTACAATCGAAAGTATGACTAATTGTAATTGCTGGTTATTTTTAATGGCGACTTTTGGTTGGAAATTTATTTGTGCGAATTTTTCGTTATTCGGTGGATAAANTACTTCTATCGAAATGCAGCTGGTGTCACCGTTACTGTCAATGGAGAGCGGTATAGATCGATGGTAACCAACTTTTTATAGCCGGAATTGGAAGAACTTGATCCTGACAACATCTGGTTTCCACAAACATCTGGTGCTAAACCTGTCTCTTATACACATCTAGATGTGTCACCGTTACTGTCAATGGAGAGCGGTATAGATCGATGGTAACCAACTTTTTATAGCCGGAATTGGAAGATTGTTATATCTGTCTCTTATACACATCTAGATGTGTATAAGAGACAGCCATATAAGTAATATGTACATATGTACATATGTATTTATGAGTATTTGCTACCAAGCTTTTATTATCAATTCTGCGCCAGTTAGTGCGCTTCCAGCAAATGCAATCTATTTGGCTTCATCAAACGATCGATAATTGCATTAGCTTATTGCAAACATCAATATTTGCGTGTGTGTGTGTATGTGTGCATATGAGCATATGTGTTTGTGTGTGTGTTAATTACGTGTTGGCATTATATGCATTTCGATTTCACTCGAGTTTGTGATTATCAGCAGCTGGCACAATGATATGCATTTTATTGCCATTTCTGCGTCGCAGGTAATGTGACATGTTTTTTATTTGTTGTTGTATGCGCGTTTACTGCTTGAGACAGATTGATAAGCGCTTACATTCGKATGCGTGTGAATGGACTTACTATTCTGAAGGTCATTCGCCATTTGCCGATCGCGGCGCCTCGTAGAAGAAGTTGGCAGTGTAAAGMTGCAATATAATGCAAACATAAGCAGCATTGATGAATAATCAACTAATCTACAGCAATTATAAATGTACTAATTTTTTTATTTCTCTGCTAAAYGCATATGCACTGATCGTTTTCTCTTTCTCTCTCTCTCTCTTTTAGATGTGATGCCGAAGCGAAAAGCCATACCACCGCCTTAGATGCTGATAAATAAAGTTTTTGATGGATGTGATAATGCGGGTTATGTACTAAGCGTTTGCTGCTGCAGCTGACGGGGAGAGCACATTGATTTGACCACTGTGAAAATTTAAACAAAAACATAAACACACAAAATGATAATTACACACCTGGCGGAGACATTGGTTATGAGCCGCGTGCAGCTTGTGACGTCAATTGCCAAATTAGTGAAATTCGTTATGAGTGATTTTTTAATTTAATTATTTTATTTAAGTAATTTTTTTTATTA